GACGGGACAGGGACCGGGGTGCAGGGGCCACGGGGTTTGGGGGATCGCGGCGCGGCCCGGAGCACACAGAGGTCGCCTCCTGCCGCTTCCGGGAGTGTCCCTGTGCCCGCCCCTTAAAGGGGACGTTGCGCGAACACGGACGCAGGTGGCAGGGACTCGGGTCCAGAGTCACCGACCCAAAAGTTCCTCTCTCCTGACACCTCTCATTGATCGATGGTGTTTGCATGTGTGCTAGGGACTCTGGAAAGGCTAGGTGCATTCATTCAGCTGTTTCTGATTGAGCCCAATAAATATGTGCTAATTGTAGAGCCGGACGTGGTGGTGCACACCTGTGATCCTAGCACTAGGGTGTCTGAGGCAGGAGGATCACCGCGAGTTCGAGGCCAGCCTGAACTATATAAAGAGCCCCTGTCTCAAAAAATAATAATAACAAAATAAAATAAAAATTAAAAAATAGGGCCGGGGATTTAGATCAGTGGTGTCGCCGCCTGCCTCTCAAACGCAAGGTCTCAAGTTCGATCCCCGGTATCCGCCCCCCAATTAGAATAACTAATAAATTAATCGATTGAATATACCAAGGGACAACGGAGGGTCGGGGATTTAGTTCAGTGGCGCTGTGCCTGCCTCGCAAGCTTAAGATCCTGAGTTCAATCCCTGTACAGGGGGGGAAAAAAAAGGACAACGGAATATTCATGGGGACATATGTGCCCGCAGAATTCTGACCTGCGGCCTCCGAGGACTTGGTCGATGATTGCCAGTGACTGCCCGCTGCCCTAATCCTCTTGCCACTTCCTCGTGTGGCCCGACCATGGAGACCCAAACCAATCACATCAGATGCAGCGTTCCCATCTACTGCAATTCAGGTGCAATTCCTGGAACACCCCCCCCCAACACCTCTCCCACCAGCATCTGTTTTTGTGGGGGGGATTGTTTTTTTGTTTTTGGTTTTGGTTTTTTGAGACAGGGTCTCACTGTGTAGTTGAGACTGACCTGGAATTCACTATGTAGCCCAGGCTGGTCTCGAATTTACAGTGATCCTCCTGCCTCAGCCTCCAGAGTACTGGGATTACAGGCGTGCGCCACCACGCCCCGCTCTTTTTTTGTTTTTGTTTTTTTGGGGGGTTTTTTGTTTGTTTGTTTGTTTCTCCCACCAGCATTTGCCTCCGCTTGTACTTACGTCTCTGCCAAATGCAAGCCAGGTTGGCTGGCTTCCTTGCCATAGAAAGCTCAGAGTGAACAGCCTGCCCTAGATTTCCACACCCTTTCAGCTAATTATTGTTACTAAGAGTCTCGCGTTCTTGCGAAATTCCTCCCCGTGTTGTTCGCGCCGCTGCCACGAGATGGCGCCGTGCACCTGTGAACCGCAGCCAGAGCTTCCCGGGTTCTAGGCCCGGGCCTTTGCGTCTCACATTAACCCTGGTACGTTGAGGATGCGTTGCTGGGCACGTGCTGGGGCGCGGGGCTGCCCTGGGCATTGCAGGGTCTTTAGCAGCAGCACATCTGGCTTCTCCCGCTCGTGCCGGAAACACCTACCCTGGGCGAGTAGAAGCTTTCAGAGTTTGTTTTGTTTCTCCGCGTCCAGGACCCAAAGCCAAGGCAGACTGGTCTGGAGAGGGCTTGCTCCACCCTGCAGACGCAGACTGCCTCTGCGTCCCATGGGGGTGGCAAGCACCTCTCAGCTAGGCCTGGCGGGTGGTGCCTGCTGGTAAATTCAGCACTTGGGAGGCTGAGGCAGGAGGATGGAAAAATGCCAGCCCAGCCTGGGCAATTTAGCAACTTAGTGAGATCCTCTGTCAAAATTTTTAAAATGAGCCGGGCGTGGTGGCGCATGCCTGTAATGACAGCACTCAGGAGGCTGAGGCACGAGGATCGCTGTGAATTCGAGATCAACCTGGGCTACCTAGTGAGTTCCAGGTCAGTCTCAACTACGGAGTGAGACCCTGTCTCAAAAAACAGAAAAAAAGAAATTAAATGAAAAAGGACTGGGGGTTTAGTTCATTGAGAAGGCCCTGGGGTCCACCTCCAGCCCTCACAGTGGGGGGCACCTGTCCCACACATGAAGACGCCCCCTTTGTCACCTGATCCCCTGCCAGAGGCCCTCTCTTAATACTATCACTTTGGAAGTTAGGATTTCAACAAATGAGTTTTGGGAAGCCTTTGTAAACCTGCACAATCCCACCAGAGCCCTCCGGATCCCTGGAATCTGTCCTTTTGGTCTTCATTTTTCTACAAGCCCAAGGGGATTGTCAGGCAAATAAGTTTAAGAACCCTAGAACCCTAGGTCCTGCTGCATTCCCCAGCCTGCTGTTCTCTCTTAAGACAGCTGGGAGTGGGAGCACACACCTGTAATCCCAGCACCCAGGAGGCTGGGGCAGGAGCATCACTGAGAGATTGAGGTCAGCCTAGGGCATAGTGAGTTCAAGGCCAGCCTGAACCTACATAGTGAGATGCTGTCTCCAAAAACCAATATATAGGACCTGCATCTTTCCCAGGGCACAGGGAAGAACCAGACTCAGAACTGCCTGATATCTCTGTGCCCTAGAGTCCCACAGACAGGAAGAGCTGCAGCTGCTTCCACATGAAAATGTACACCTCTGCCAGTTCCCAGGTTGCCCCATCCTCGTTCTTTTCTTTCATGTGCAACTAGATCCTCAAAAGGAAGAGAATAGAATACACAGTGTGAGCCAGGTGTGGTGGCGCAAACGTGTAATTCCAACATTCAGGAGGCTGAGGCAAGAGGGTTGCATGACTTCAAGGATAGCCTGAACTATATAGCAAAAGCCTTGTCTTATAAAAACCTTTTAAAATGTTTATTACATGCTGGGTTCCGCCGCCTGCCTCGCAAGCACAAGGACCCGAGTTCCATCCCCAGTACCAAAAAAAATTTTTTTTATTACAGAAAAAAATTGCCATAAATCCTCCTCAGAATCTTCCTCCTTTGAATGTGTTTACTCCAATGATCTTGCCACTTTCTGAAGCAGGTTTGGAGGTGCTCTTTCCTGAGTATCTTTATGAGGTGGGATTAAAATCATTGCAAGTACCTTTGCAAGTGCCATCCAAAGGAGAGGTAGGCTGTAAAGACCGTTGCTGTGTGTCCTCATCCACCTCGGTCATTGGACTGCACCATGTGACTTCTGGCTCTTCCCCAAAGTCAACAAGGAATTGATTCAGGACATCAAGGCAACCACAGCAGTGAAACTAAAGGCTCTCACAAAAGACTTGCAGAACTGCTTCAGAAAGCAGCCTGAACCATGGGATAAATGTGTTTGAATTGAGAAGGAAGATTTTTAGGGGAATTGCCATGTATCTTTGACTGTAATAAAATCCTAAAATGTAAACATTCCCCATATCCCACAGTTACATTTCACAGCATGGCAGGTATTTATGCAGATTTAATTGATATTTGAGGCTTTGCAAATGACATAGCAAGTCATGACTTGGTTCTTTGCTTTCCATTAATCTGTTTTGTTTTGTTTTTTGGTACTGGGGATGCAACTCGGGCCCTTGCCGCTTGCCAGGCAGGTGCTGGAACCACTGAGCTGAATCCCCACTCTCCATTAATCTGTTATAAACAAGTTTATTCCTGCGTGTGTCGGGGAGACCCTCCGAAGGCCTATATTACCGTACTTGTTGCCAACTTGGAAGTTCTGAGATTTCCCTCCAGGGGGCAGTGGGGACACACGATGACACAGGCTTCCCTTGTGGCTCTGCTCGCCCCGCCCCCTCCACTCCTGTCCGACACCTCCTAGGTCCCACAGCTGCCGGGACCGAGGACAAAGGAAGCCTGGGGTGCAGTGTTAGGCTCAGTTTCGTGTCCTCAGCGGGAGGCCGCGGGTGAGGGTAACAGTGAAAGAACTCGTGTCCAGCTATCCTCAGACATGGCAGAGGGGCCGAAGACAGGACGGGAAATGGGAAGAGAAAGGCTGGCTGTGGGTGGCGCCTTCCTAAGGAGGAAAGAGGCACAGAGGCACTCTCCTTCCTTCAGCCGGCTTCCTACGGAGTGAATACACAACTGTGCGTGTCCCTTCACCCAGGCACCAGCGGGCATGTGGCAGTGCGATCCAAGAGAGATCCTGCCCGCCCCGAGGCCAGGTCCCCAAGCTAGGGTCGGATCTCAAAGGGTTGGGTCCAGTCGGGGCACCCGGAGGAGCTGCACTGCCCATGCTTTCCACAAGGGGGAGCTACAGCAAGGACTCGGAGAGGACCGATCCAGAGCTCTACCTGCAATCACGAAGTAAAACATGAAAGGAGCTGGGACATAGCTCAGTGCAAAGACCCTGGGTTCCAGCCCCAGTACCTGGGGGCGTCTGCGTGTGTGTGTATGTGTGTGTGTGTGTGCGCGCGTGCGCGTGCATCTGTCTGTCTGTCTGTCTGTGTGTGGTGTGTGGTGTGTGCTGGAACAGAAAAGAGCTCAAGGATTGTCTTCCCTACAAAAAAGATCTTAGTGGAAATGAGGCCTTTTGGGGCAATGTCCAAAGGCTTTCTCAGGTCCCCTAGGTCCTTGACCTTGCCCTTGGCTGATGACTGCAAGGAAGCCAGCTCCCTGCTGCCTGGGGCCTTCCATGGGGCAGTTGAGATGGGATGGGAGGAAGAAAGCTGCCTGCTTCTCCATTTTCAACCTGATGCATCCTGCACTCACTGAAAGGAAACAGCAGAATCCCAGCGGTGTGGTGGGACCGCCTCTAATCCCAGAATTCCTGGAGACTGAGGCAAGAGGATCACCATGAGTTTGAGGCCAGCCTGGGCTGCATTGTGAGTTCAAAGGCAGCCTGACTACATAGTGAGGCCCTGTCTCAAAAACTCAAAAAGTAATCCAGGGATGATATGAAGCATAGAGGAAGATAGGTTTACATGCAGATACCACACCATCTTGTACAAGGGGTTTTTTAAAATTATTGGTTCAGTACATAATGATTACATTTATTTTTTTATTTTTTTGGTACCGGGGATTGAACTCAGATCCTTGAACTTGCAAGGCAGGCCACCGTACCGCTGAGCTAAATCCCCGGCCCTAGTGAATACATTTTTGAGGAGGGGTTTTTTTGTTTTTGTTTTTGTTTTTGTTTTTTGAGATAGGGTCTCACTATATAGTTGAGACTGACCTGAAACTCACTATACCCCAGGCTGGTCTTGAATTCACAGTGAACCTTCTCCCTCACCCTCCTGAGTGCTGGGATCACAGGCGTGCGCCTCCACACCCAGCAAGGAGTTTGAAGATGTATATAACACATCTTAATTGGGGGATCCCCTTCACCTCGCATTCCTTTTTGGTCCCTCCAACCCCTAATCTCCTTCCCATTGGAAAAAGATCTATTTCAATTTTTTTGTTTGATTCTCTTTTTAAAAATCCTTTTTCCCTTCCTTCTCTCACCCTCTCCATCTCTTGTTCCTCTCCTCATTTGAAAAATATCTCTCTACTTCCTATTATCTATCCTTTATTTTACTTTTGATTTATATTTTGGGTTTCTCATATAAGAGAAACTGTGCTCTTTTTTTTTTTTTTTTTTTTTT